ATATTGCAAAATAAGCCCAGGCAGGGTGATCAGTTTAGCAGCCTGCTTGTTACAAGACTGCTTACTAAATAAAAGCAAAATCAACATGAAATATGCATTTGGGTTTGAATGAGTCTCCGTGCTAATTTGAGATGAACCTTGATGAAGCTTCTCTCTCTTTCTGTCACAGGATGGACTGCACTGTGCGGGATCCAGAGGAAATCTCAGGAACTTTAATTGATGTGGCCAAACACGTCGGCTCAGTCGCATTCAGAGTGTGGGAGAAGATGCAGCCCGAGGTCACATACAGTAAGAGCAAACTGACCAAATCTGTCATTGATTTAAAAAAATAAATTAATACAAATTAAATAAATAAAAACCTCCAAAGTCAAGTTTTTATTTAGATATTACAAGCAAATATTGGCTCTTTTTCAACATTTGTTTTTCAACAGCTTCCTGTTACAGAAAAGTCATCAGACTTGTTTAAATCTTTACTCACTCGTCAGGGGTTGGTAAATCTGTATATTATTATATAAAATAAAATAAAAATAATAAACTCAGTCAGATTTCTTTGGTTAAATATTTAGATTTTTCTGTTACCGAACTACAAGAATTCACCAGAACAGTCTTTACTCTTAGGTAAATCTGTAATTTATGATACAAAATAAAAGTCAGATAATGATTTCTTTGGTTGAATATTTAGATTTTTAAGTAAATCAACTTGTTTACAGAACTACAAGAAGTCATCAGACTTGTTTAAATCTTTACTCACTCTTTAGGGGTTGGCAAATCTGTAAAATGATTATATAAAATAAAAATAATAAACTCAAAGTCAGATTTCTTTGGTTAAATATTTAGATATTTCTGTTATCGAACTACAAGAAGTCATCAGAACAGTCTTTACTCTTTAGGAGCAAGTAAATATAGAATTTATGATACAAAATAAAATAAGTCAAATTTATTTGGTTAAATATTTAGATTTTTAAGAAAATCAACTTGGTTACAGTACTACAAGAAGTCATCAGACTTGCTTAAATCTTTACTCACTCTTTAGGGGTTGGTAAATCTGTAATTAATTATTTACAATACAGTATAATAAAGTAGCCTACAAATAAAATTATCTAGTTAAAGATTTATAAAGATTTTATTTAGATCTTTCTGTTACAGAATATCAGCCTTTACTCACTCTTTAGGGTTGATAAATCTGTAATTTATAAGAAAAATAATGAGCTCAAAGTCAAAATATTTAGATCTTTCTGTTACAGAACTACAAGAAGTCATCAGAACAGTATTACTATTTAGGGGCAGGTGAATATGTAATATATGAAATATATGAAAATAAAAAATGTATTTGGTTAAATATTTAGAAATTACAAGCATATCAACTTGGTTAGCTACAAGAAGGGGGTAAAGAGTGAGTAAATCGGATTTAATATAGTATAATGTATATATATATATATATATATATATATATATATGATATAAAATAAAATAAATGTCTCCCTTAAAAAAATCTTTACTGAGATTTTATGTTTTAACTAGTACTGCTTATTTCACAAATTCAAGAAATTACATTTTTGTTTATGAATATCTAGTTTAATCACGACTAAACTCTTTAAATACTTCTCAAACCTTCAGCTCCCGTGATTCTTGATCCCAACACCGCAGACATCTGCGTCATTCTGTCAGATGACCTGACCACCATCCGCTACAGCGAAGAAGACCAACAGGTCCCGGACAACCCTGAGCGCTTCTGCTTCTACGAGTGTGTCCTGGGCTCGGAGGGTTTCAGCTCTGGTCGCCACAGCTGGGACGTGGAGGTGGGCGACTGCAGCGAATGGGCGCTGGGAGTGGTGAAAGAGAGCGTGCAGCGGAAAGAGTGGTTTCCCCCGAGCCCTGACCGTGGCATGTGGATCATCTGCTTGTACGGAGGAGAGTATCGCGCACGGACGGCCACCAACACTCCTCTGACGCTCAAGAAGAAACCTCAGAAGATTCGAGTTCAGCTCGACTGGGAGGGTGGCAGAGTGATGTTCTCGGATGCCAGTGACAACTCGCTGCTGTACAAGTACAAGCACAAGTTTACGGAAAAGATGTTCCCGTATTTCTCCAATACATGTAAAAGACGTCCACTGCATATTTTAGCAGAAAAGGTGTCTGTGTACACAGAATAACTCAAGACACTCATCAGCATGAGGACTATATCTACACTACCGATCAAAAGTTTTAGATTGGTACGATTTTTCTATGTTTTTGAAAGAATCATTTATGCTCACCAAGGCTTGATCCAAATACAGCAAAAACAGTAATATTGTGAAATATTTACATTTAAAATAACTGTTTTCTATTTGAATATTCGTATCTATAAATTACAGGAACGTCTGTTAATCGCATATCTCTCAAAGCGTCCGATGGATTTCAAACTTGACGGTTGTCTTGCTACGGGCACGAATAAGTGCAGTGCCGAGTTTGACGTTGTTTGGATTAGAAATGCAAAAGATATCGTTAAATATATCGGTTAAAGAAGCACACATTGAAGTTGTGGTTTAAAAATTAACATTCTGTCAGCTAAACATTAAGCCTGTTAATCACATATCTCTCAAACCGTTAGTCTGATGGACTTCAAACTTGACAGTTGTCTTTCTGAAAAGTAGCGGTTCTTTTTGTAAAAGTAGCAACATGTATCCACAATGTTTGATGCAGCTGACAATACAACATGGCGTTTGAGCATCAGATCCTTGTTGTTCATGTGTCTTTGTGGTAAAGCGGGTGAACAGCGCTCTTAATAAAGCTCTGATGACTTTCTCGTGTGTGTGAGTAAGTGAGAGATAGTGTGTGTGATTAAACACATGTTGAGACATTGTTACAACATTATTTTTTTATTTAATGTTCAAATAATGTTTTGGCAGATAGAACCTTGTAATTCTAAGCGAAAAGTGTTTTTTTTTTTTTTTTTTTTTTTTTTTTAGAATTAGAAGGTTCTATCTGCATTTGACCCATTCCAAAAATCCGCATTTACAAATTTGAGAGGATTTTGATATTGTATGTTTAGAATACATTTAGGGTCCCTGTTATTTTCATGTTTGAATGAAACTTGTTCCCCATTTAAATTTTCCTATATGTAATGCAAAAACTTTGAAGCTCAATATCTCAAAACTGCTCAGAACGCAGATCGAACCTTATAATTCCAAGGGGACGATGTTTTTCTGGAGAAAGCAGACACTCGATCCCTCTCACCTGTGCTTTAGCACACACAAGCCTCTTTAACCTTTGGTGATCATGACTTTGCAAACTTTATTATAGCTGATAACAAAAGTTACATAGAGTAAAATTTGTGACTGTATTCAGCCTCATTATTCAGCCTGAAATGTGATCCTGTATAAGAGGAAGTCAGCCATGGAATTTGAGATTGTTGCTTTACTGTGTGTGCAGTATTCTGCTTCGCAATGGCCTATCAACTAGGGGGTGATGTTTTCCGACTCACCACGGCCCCCTGGTGCAGAAATGTTTGGGGCCCTCGGATCTCGTTCAGGGGTTGAAAGGCCGAAAAAGGGACGCTCGTCCGCAAAACCACTATTTGTCCAATAACCCACTTCGCAATGGTCGATCGACTAGGGCCAAGAAGATTGGAGAAACTTATTTTTTCGCACCAAAAAAAAAAAACGACAGGGGTAACACTGTCGTTTTTTTTCTGGGTCGAAAATTTGAGTTTCTCTGAACTTTTTGAAACTCTGGATTCCGATAGAGGGCCATGGGACTTAGACCTGATTGCAAAAATGGAGGCTCTAGACCCTTCCACAGCTGGGATGTTGAGATATTTATAATGGCTAAATGCTACGTGGGATCTCTATATCTCAGCTCTGGAAGGGTCTAGAGCCTCCATTTTGCACTCAGGTCTAAGTCTCATGGCCCTCTATCGGAATCCAGAGTTTCAAGAAAATTGTAGAAACCTATTTTTTTCGCACCAAAAAAAAAACAAAAAAAAAACGACAGGGGTAACACTCGTTTTTTTGGGGGTCGAAATTTTGAGTTTCTCTGATCTTCTTGAAACTCTGGATTCTGGTAGAGGGCCATGGGACTTAGACCTGAGTGCGAAAATGGAGGCTCTAGACCCTTCCAGAGCTGAGATATTGAGATCCCACGTAGCATTTAGCCTTTATAAATATCTCAACATCTCAGCTCTGGAAGGGTCTAGAGCCTCCTTTTTTGCACTCAGGTCTAAGTCTATGGTCTTAATGATTTAAGTTAGAAACCAGTAATTTGTACTACTTAAAGAAAGAAAATAGCATACACATTAATTCACTTTTCAATTAGCTTCAATATTCTTTAGCAAATACAATTGTATCAATACATTTTTATTGATACATTTGAGAGACTCAATATACTGAAAACTGAAAATCAGACCAAAAAAAACAACAACCTTCAAACAAGGTTTAGAATTATTCATTTTACTCTTATGAATATGAAATTTTATTAATAAAATTATAAGATTCATCATAACATTTACAGAAGCAGTTTTCAAAATATATGATAACATATTTGGATGTTAAAGGTATAGCGGAGGATTTTCTTTTTCCGGGTGGGTAGTCTATACTATTGGTCCACCTAAGTGTCAATCATTCTGGTGATATGTTTACGTAAGGCCGTCGTACGTGCTCATCCCTATGTAGTTTTCACTTTCAGGTGTATTATGTCGGAGTTGCGGTTTCAGCCAAAAATGACTGAGGGTCGAAAGAGAAAAAATACGAAGTGTATGATAAGAAGAGTGAGTGATTTTGGGTGAATATCACACGCTGGCGTGCGCTAAAAGCACAGGTTGGGCTTCTGATGCCGCAGTCGCGATCGCGAAGATTCTACTAGACAGGTAAAGTTTGTCATGCTATTTGGAGAAATCCATTTAAAATCACTAGTAAAAGTTAATGCAAGCTACTTAGCAATGCTAGCCCTGGCACAAGTCATGCACCGCATAGACACGGTGAACATCTCAATTTGTCTAGCCTTTTGACCAAAATGGTAAGTATCACACTGAAATATTCTAAAACCTTGTGTGTTCAAATTCTAAAACCTTGTGTGTTTATTATTATACAAATGCAACAAGCTACTTCTCCATTACATATGCAACTATAAAAATAACGTATTATTAATGAGACATATTATAGGACCAACGTAATGGCACTGCTTATATTGCCATGTAACGTAATTGCGATTTACAAAATAGTTTCCTCAGAACGTATTTCGTCTGATACAGGGTTGCACATATCATGTCTTGAGTCCTCGGTCACTCAATCGATCAGTATAATAAGTAAATAAAACACGGAAGGGCATTTGACATGCTGTCTTTTTTATGAATGTTTTCGAGTTAGTTTATAATTTGCGACATAATTGTGTAAGGTGTAATAGGCGTTCCCTCTCGGGAGCAAGAGTGTTGTGTTTGTCCATGTGCATTTTTTTTTAAATTGGAGAGGGCGGGTCTTCTCTAAAATTCGGAAAGATCCTCCGCTATACCTTTAATTCACAGTTATAAACAGATTGTTGTATTTGTTTTTTACAATTTTTTTACTGGTTTATTTATTTTAAGTAGCCTAATCAAGTTATTTATTTATGCATATACCTATTTTTACATTTCATGGTAGCCTATTTAGGTATATATTCCTAATTTAAAAACTAACAGCTGCAGAAAGTCAAGGACAGTCGATTTCAACCCGAGTCAAAAAACAGTGAACGTAACTCTGATTGGCTGAGGCAGCAGATCATCATAATCCAACCTGTAACGTCAGCCACTCTGATTGGCTGAGGCAACATGCCAGGCATGTGGTGGTGCGATTCGGCGTGTTTTTCCTATGTGTTGTGTTTTTCAAGCAGAAAATAACGGCACAGATATTCAGCCTGCATCGCCGTCATGATCGCTGGTAGTGATGGCAAGATGAGGCTTCCTGAACCACGGAGACCTCGCAGCCCATTGCTTCACCCAAAGGTTCATTACTCGAAGCTTCATTCAGCATTGCTCACTAGTGACACCTAGCTACTGTGCAAAGAAACAGAAGACAAATTAAATCATTCTGAACAATGACCCGCCCCCCTCCCGCTCTGTTTTATTTATTTACCTTGTTCTCACTGTTAATGTCTCTGTAACCTTTCATTTACAAGAGATCTATGCAAACATTTGTCCATTGCCTGACATTAAATAAAACGTGTATCTTTCTCTGTCTGCATTTTGTACAGAGACAACTGTCAAACACAATAAATTATTATTATTATTTTTTAAATGGATAGTGACAGTATGAACAACAACAGTGAATGTGTTGAGTGCAGTGCTTTTGGTGGAGTGACTCGAGGAAGTGATATAGGCTAATGTAGTAATATACAGCCCTAACACATAGGCTATATGACACAATAACGATCTCTGACGCTACTACAACTGCTTCTACTGCTCCTGAAACAGCCACAGGGTGGCGCGAGCCGAACCGATGACGTTTTAACACAAACCGAGGCCTGGTTTGTCATTAGTCACGTGATTTTCACGGTAACGACCGTAACAACACAAGCCTCGAATCCAGAATCGCGGCTTCTTCTGGCACGCCCATTTTTTCCTCTACACAAGCTCCGAGGCCTCGGTTCAAATGTCACAAAGCTTCGTAACGTCTGTTTCGCGCCAACCATCCCTAGTGTTTGGTAGTTTAGCGTTATTGTCTTAAACTTCACAAACCTACCGCGAATGTCCAAGGGCGTTAACGGCACAGTTTTTCTTTTTGTTTGTTTTGCGTTAGCTCGCTGCTCTTAATTTTTTTTTTTAGTTTCATTTCAATTTGAACAATTTGGGACACTAAACTGTAGGTTGCACGTTGTTATCTGGCTGCAAGCTAGCTAAGTTGCCATTCTTTGCTAGTAATCAAGCTAACTCATACTGAGTGTTCAATTGGCTTTTCCCAATGCGTTTAGCTACTCTGAATATCGTCAGAAATTATGAAAAAATAAGTGCCACGGTCATAAAAACTTAAAGCGCATAATGTGCTTGTATGCTCTAGTGTAGGCTATCCTTGGTAAAACTGCATCACTTAACTGTTGTGTGATGGAGTGAAATCTTTAAGGTGTTTGTTAACCAATGTGTTTTGTCTCTCGGGTGCTGTAAGGAGTGAGGTGTCCGACTCCTTCCCTGATAGGAGAAAAAACACCTAAACAAGGTAACGTTACGTGTTGTGATCTCATCCTCTTTTCTTTTGAACAGCCCCCAGTCAAATAAACAGTAAAACTAAACTAATTTGGATTAACGTCTTTGTTTACAGATGACTTTGAGCGTTCACACTACGCTCATTTAGAATTATTTTGCTATTCAGGTGGTGGTCACATCACCCTGGCTGCCTGTTACACAGTGTACACATTGCTTTGAACAAGAAATCAAGTAATTTAGAATTTTTTTTACAATTAAGGCTGCAATTTTCATCAAAGTACTTTGCAGTTCAGCAAGTTTTATAGATGTACCTCTAATTTTTATAATATTGCAGATTTATTATTTATCATCTAATAAATCTGTTCAGTTTCATCATTTGATAATAACTTTTATAACACATTTTTTTGTGGTATAGATCCAGTGACTGAGACTGGGAGATGCAGTGACTGAGACCTGGTGGTAAGTATTGATCTATTGGCAGTGGAGAAGACGCTTTTAATAGACACCTTTCTCTCTTGTGCGCTAGCAAACTTTTCTATTTTAATTAGAGCATTGTAAACCTCACCAAATGTGTTTGTTTACTTCAGTGTTCCAGAAAAAGGTCCTGAAACTACTGGTCGACATCCGCCATCGCCTGAAGGAAACCAGGTAGTGGATGCAGAGGAAACATATTTTTGCTTACAAATGTGGGGACTTGGGGCAGATTGCCTTTGCATACATCTAAATCATTTGTCTTTTTCAACTTTGCAGAAGGGATCATGAAATTCGGTTCCACAGCCACTGAGGTGTATGTACATCAAGGTGAACGTGTCTGAGCACCTCAAGCACGCGTCGCAAAGACTTGGAGGTGGAGGATTCACTACGCCCTGATGAGCCAAGCCTACAGGACTTGAATTAAGAGTTTTAAAGGGATAGTTCACTTTGAAATTAATTTTTGAAATATTTTAGCTTACATCAAGGGGAGTCCAAGATGTAAGTGTCTTTGTTTCCACAGTAGTTTCAATTTTTATATATTTTTACATCAAACCATTCTTGTCAGTCATACAATGGAAGTCTATGGGGTTCTCTTAAAAGAGCATGCACAGAGAAGTCCAAATTAAAAATGATTTAATGACTCGTAACTGTAAGTACACATTGATGGCTTAAGATACGAAACGAGCGGTTTGTGTGAGAAAATGAACAGTGTATATATATATATATATATATATATATATATATATATATGTGTAACAACAATATAAATACTTTTTGTTTTCTCTCACAAACCGCTCATTTCGTGTCTTTGTCCATCAATGTGTACTTAATTTATGAGTCATTAAATCATGTTTAATTTGGACTTCTCTGTGCATGCTCTTTGAGGTGGTGACCATAGACCTGCATTATATAACTGACAGACAAGAACGGTTTGACCTAAAAATATCAAAATTGAAAATACTGTGTAAACAAAGACACCTACATCTTGGATGCCCTTGAGGTAAGCTAAAACATATCAAATTAATTTCAAAGTGAACCATCCCTTTAAATTACATCCTTATTATTCGTTCATAATTCTGCCTCCACTGTACATTGTGTTTGATATATCTGGTGCCTAATTCTGATGCCATTCAGGGCAATTTATTTTTGAATAAAGATGCAATATAGAATTGTGATTTATTTGTATAACTGTAGTGCTGATATGTATGTTGTCCCATGTTTCCAGAGGGTGGAGGACATGTTTTTGTGCTTTGAAGATGTTCTCCTATGCTTTGTACATAGTTGTGTGTTTATTTCTTTGAATAAATAGTATCTGGCAAATGTTCCTTTCCTCAATAAATTCATGTCCTTGATGGTAATAATGGTTTAGTCCATAGGATAACAATGACATGAATATACAACAACATAATAGCATATCATATGAAAATATATAAGTAAATCATTATTATTCAAATTTTTTGTAGTCTGACCAATAGTAACAGAGCTGCCAACCAATCACGAGTGATTTTCTTGTTTAAATGTAGTGATTTCAACCAATACTGAGTGAGGAAATTCAAGCCATTCTCTGGCAAGGCGCGCAGCAGCGCCGCTATTCATATGCTAATTAGAACCATTCGCACCTCCGCGAGCGCTCCATGCATACGTCACGGTTCGTTTCCGTCAATATGTGGCACAGATGAACGAGACGTTCACGGTCTGTAAATTGTCGTTAACTGCCGAAAATTAGGGAGATTTCCGGCAGTTTACAGGGACGAAAATCCCACTTTTCATGCAGTGAATCTTCTTGAAACTCTGGATTCTGATAGAGGGCCATGTGACTTACACCTGAGTGTAAATATCTCAGATATTGAAGTATTTATAATGGCAAAAATGGTACGTGGGATCTCAATATCTCAGCTCTGGAAAGGTCTAGAGCCTCCATTTTTGCACTCAGGTCAAAGGCTCATGGCCCTCTATCAGAATCCAGAGTTTTGAGAAGATTAGAGAAACTTAATTTCTCGCCCGAAAAAAAAACAAAAACGAAAAGGGGTACCACTGTCGTTTTTTTTTTTTTCGGGTCGAAATTTTGAGTTTCGATATCTCAGCTCTGGAAGGGTCTAAAGCCTCCATTTTTGCACTCAGGTCTAAGTCTCATGGCCCTCTATAAAAATCCAGAGTTTTGAGAAGATTGGAGAAACTTGATTTTTCGCCCGAAAAAAAAAAAACGTAAGGGGTAACACTGTCGTTTTTTTTTCGGGTCGAAATTTTGAGTTTCGATATCTCAGCTCTGGAAGGGTCTAGAGCCTCCATTTTTGCGCTCAGGTCAAAGTCTCGCGGCCCTCTATCATAATCCAGAGTTTTGAGAAGATTGGAGAAACTTGATTTTTCGCCCAAAAAAAAAAAACGTAAGGGGTAACACTGTCGTTTTTTTTTCGGGTCGAAATTTTGAGTTTCGATATCTCAGCTCTGGAAGGGTCTAGAGCCTCCATTTTTGCGCTCAGGTCAAAGTCTCGCGGCCCTCTATCATAATCCAGAGTTTTGAGAAGATTGGAGAAACTTGATTTTTCGCCCGAAAAAAAAAAAACGTAAGGGGTAACACTGTCGTTTTTTTTTCGGGTCGAAATTTTGAGTTTCGATATCTCAGCTCTGGAAGGGTCTAGAGCCTCCATTTTTGCGCTCAGGTCAAAGTCTCGCGGCCCTCTATCATAATCCAGAGTTTTGAGAAGATTGGAGAAACTTGATTTTTCGCCCGAAAACGAAAAAAAACGTAAGGGGTAACACTGTCGTTTTTTTTTCGGGTCGAAATTTTGAGTTTCGATATCTCAGCTCTGGAAGGGTCTAGAGCCTCCATTTTTGCGCTCAGGTCAAAGTCTCGCGGCCCTCTATCATAATCCAGAGTTTTGAGAAGATTGGAGAAACTTGATTTTTCGCCCGAAAACGAAAAAAAACGTAAGGGGTAACACTGTCGTTTTTTTTTCGGGTCGAAATTTTGAGTTTCGATATCTCAGCTCTGGAAGGGTCTAGAGCCTCCATTTTTGCGCTCAGGTCAAAGTCTCGCGGCCCTCTATCATAATCCAGAGTTTTGAGAAGATTGGAGAAACTTGATTTTTCGCCCGAAAACGAAAAAAAACGTAAGGGGTAACACTGTCGTTTTTTTTTCGGGTCGAAATTTTGAGTTTCGATATCTCAGCTCTGGAAGGGTCTAGAGCCTCCATTTTTGCGCTCAGGTCAAAGTCTCGCGGCCCTCTATCATAATCCAGAGTTTTGAGAAGATTGGAGAAACTTGATTTTTCGCCCGAAAACGAAAAAAAACGTAAGGGGTAACACTGTCGTTTTTTTTTCGGGTCGAAATTTTGAGTTTCGATATCTCAGCTCTGGAAGGGTCTAGAGCCTCCATTTTTGCGCTCAGGTCAAAGTCTCGCGGCCCTCTATCATAATCCAGAGTTTTGAGAAGATTGGAGAAACTTGATTTTTCGCCCGAAAACGAAAAAAAACGTAAGGGGTAACACTGTCGTTTTTTTTTTCGGGTCGAAATTTTGAGTTTCGATATCTCAGCTCTGGAAGGGTCTAGAGCCTCCATTTTTGCGCTCAGGTCAAAGTCTCGCGGCCCTCTATCATAATCCAGAGTTTTGAGAAGATTGGAGAAACTTGATTTTTCGCCCGAAAACGAAAAAAAACGTAAGGGGTAACACTGTCGTTTTTTTTTCGGGTCGAAATTTTGAGTTTCGATATCTCAGCTCTGGAAGGGTCTAGAGCCTCCATTTTTGCGCTCAGGTCAAAGTCTCGCGGCCCTCTATCATAATCCAGAGTTTTGAGAAGATTGGAGAAACTTGATTTTTCGCCCGAAAACGAAAAAAAACGTAAGGGGTAACACTGTCGTTTTTTTTTCGGGTCGAAATTTTGAGTTTCGATATCTCAGCTCTGGAAGGGTCTAGAGCCTCCATTTTTGCGCTCAGGTCAAAGTCTCGCGGCCCTCTATCATAATCCAGAGTTTTGAGAAGATTGGAGAAACTTGATTTTTCGCCCGAAAACGAAAAAAAACGTAAGGGGTAACACTGTCGTTTTTTTTTCGGGTCGAAATTTTGAGTTTCGATATCTCAGCTCTGGAAGGGTCTAGAGCCTCCATTTTTGCGCTCAGGTCAAAGTCTCGCGGCCCTCTATCATAATCCAGAGTTTTGAGAAGATTGGAGAAACTTGATTTTTCGCCCGAAAACGAAAAAAAACGTAAGGGGTAACACTGTCGTTTTTTTTTCGGGTCGAAATTTTGAGTTTCGATATCTCAGCTCTGGAAGGGTCTAGAGCCTCCATTTTTGCGCTCAGGTCAAAGTCTCGCGGCCCTCTATCATAATCCAGAGTTTTGAGAAGATTGGAGAAACTTGATTTTTCGCCCGAAAACGAAAAAAAACGTAAGGGGTAACACTGTCGTTTTTTTTTCGGGTCGAAATTTTGAGTTTCGATATCTCAGCTCTGGAAGGGTCTAGAGCCTCCATTTTTGCGCTCAGGTCAAAGTCTCGCGGCCCTCTATCATAATCCAGAGTTTTGAGAAGATTGGAGAAACTTGATTTTTCGCCCGAAAACGAAAAAAAACGTAAGGGGTAACACTGTCGTTTTTTTTTCGGGTCGAAATTTTGAGTTTCGATATCTCAGCTCTGGAAGGGTCTAGAGCCTCCATTTTTGCGCTCAGGTCAAAGTCTCGCGGCCCTCTATCATAATCCAGAGTTTTGAGAAGATTGGAGAAACTTGATTTTTCGCCCGAAAACGAAAAAAAACGTAAGGGGTAACACTGTCGTTTTTTTTTCGGGTCGAAATTTTGAGTTTCGATATCTCAGCTCTGGAAGGGTCTAGAGCCTCCATTTTTGCGCTCAGGTCAAAGTCTCGCGGCCCTCTATCATAATCCAGAGTTTTGAGAAGATTGGAGAAACTTGATTTTTCGCCCGAAAACGAAAAAAAACGTAAGGGGTAACACTGTCGTTTTTTTTTCGGGTCGAAATTTTGAGTTTCGATATCTCAGCTCTGGAAGGGTCTAGAGCCTCCATTTTTGCGCTCAGGTCAAAGTCTCGCGGCCCTCTATCATAATCCAGAGTTTTGAGAAGATTGGAGAAACTTGATTTTTCGCCCGAAAACGAAAAAAAACGTAAGGGGTAACACTGTCGTTTTTTTTTCGGGTCGAAATTTTGAGTTTCGATATCTCAGCTCTGGAAGGGTCTAGAGCCTCCATTTTTGCGCTCAGGTCAAAGTCTCGCGGCCCTCTATCATAATCCAGAGTTTTGAGAAGATTGGAGAAACTTGATTTTTCGCCCGAAAACGAAAAAAAACGTAAGGGGTAACACTGTCGTTTTTTTTTCGGGTCGAAATTTTGAGTTTCGATATCTCAGCTCTGGAAGGGTCTAGAGCCTCCATTTTTGCGCTCAGGTCAAAGTCTCGCGGCCCTCTATCATAATCCAGAGTTTTGAGAAGATTGGAGAAACTTGATTTTTCGCCCGAAAACGAAA